CTGGCACTCAGTTTATCAGCACCCACATAACTTTGGAAATTAAATTTTAAAGTTAAATTCTTTTTTGTTTAAAAATGCAACGTAAAATTTTGAAACATTAAGTGAATGCTGATAACTGGGTGTCAGTTTCAGCTTGATAATTGTGTTTGGAATTCATTCAAAGGCCTAAATCTAATGTGAATTACCTAAAATGGAAACTTATGATTCCACGTAAGGAATAGAAACTGTAGAAAACAATTTTAAGATGCTCAATCTTGATAACTTTTGTGACTATCTGTTTGGGTTTTGCATAATTTAACCAGAGCTTTTTTGAAGTTCCTTTTTTCAAACCCTATTGTGGAGTTTCTTGGTAGAAGTCGAAAATGAACAGCACTTTCTAGATAAATTGAATCCCAGTTTTGTAAGTTCCTTGAGTAGATCATTAAGCGTCTTACAACTTCTAATTCTTCTGTCTTTCTTCAATTATGGACGGGGCTACCAAATATAGCTAAGGGTACAATTGTGTTTAATAATTCTGGTTGTTTGTCTTTTAAACTAGTTCTGCCCATTGTTGGTGATACTATTTAGACTTTCTTCTGAATTTTTACTAATTTATTTTAATTTCGACTCCACTTTTTCTCGATGCTTATTTTGATGTTGAATATTTAATTGTTTTATTTTTAATCTTATTTAGCTTTCATAAGATGTAATCTTACCTTTTTAATAGTATCCAACGTTACTATTTTGGCCTGGGTATTTGCAGTGCCAATAACTGCAATTTTGTAAAAACATATAATTAATTAACAATTCTAAATTTTATATGTATTTTCATTTTAAATTAATCATTGCAGTGCACGTCACCATTATTTTTGTATTATTATTATATACATATTTTATGTTTTGAAGTTAAAATTTGTCTATAAAGTGTTAACGACAGGTTCAGTTATCATAAAGACAGCTTATGTGAAAGAAGATTAAAAAAAAAATCTAAAACCCTGCTGTTATTATTAATGGATCTTCAAGCAAGTTGAATTTTGTTCAGTTCGATTAAAATTTGAATCAAAATTGAAATAAGTTGACTTATGTTTCAGTTATTGTAACCTGAACTTTGTATTCTTAATTCAAATACCTGTATCATAAAAAGTTAAATTTTTATTCCATTAACCGAAAATACAAAAATATTTTTATTTTTTTACTGCTTGATTTAAAGATGTGTTTTTAAATTTATAACTTAAAAATATTTTCTGCTTTACTAAGTAATTATCATCAATTTCTTTCAAACTAAACAAAATGTTAAGTGAAGTATGTTATTTCTGATAGGCAATTGTTATATTTCATGCATTTGTATACAATTATTCGCTGTTTGACCATATTTTCTTTTCTTTGTTAATACTTTAATTGTTCAGGAAAAAGAAGTTGATTGAAAGGCATTAAATTGATTGTTTCATTCTATGCATTCGAGCGAGAAATTTACTTAAATGCAGTCGCACACTCTTACGGAATTTAAGTTGTGATGTGAGTCAGTACACTCTGCATGAAAGTCATGTTCAAGTCAAAAACCTTAAAATAAGTTCCGTGCAGTGACTGAAACTTAGCTACTGTCGGTAAAATAGTTTGATGTTATCTGCTTTAAGGCCTAAGCACAACTGAGTCGGGTACGGGAAACCATGGGCCTCCTAACCTCAATGTATATTGTGCTTAGGCCTTAAAGTAGATAATTTTGCTTTAAACTGCTTTAAGATATATAGGATACTTACTTTTTGCAGTTACGTAAATTATTTTTAGGCACTGCTTTAATTTAAGGCTAAAATAAAAATCAGTTCAATTATATTTTCAGTAAAACGTTTTACTGTGTACGTAATTTTGCAGCTACCTAATACCTTGTGACAAACCTCAAATGTCCCTTGTATAGAAAGCTTTCCTTGTACACTGTAAAAAAATTTAATTGATTCAAATACACTACCGTCGGGAATTATCGGTACGGCTGCACGCGCACGGCCCAAAAACATACCAATCTTTAAATCACGATTTTTTTGTAAATACAAATGTCAGAAAATTAACAAATAAACCATTCGAAAGATTATTAAATTCTACGATTAATGATACATAACTGAAAATTTTAATAATTTATTCAAAATTAGCAGCAATCGGCAAATTTGACAAAAAAAATTAAAAAATAAAATTTTTTCGGAAATTTTTTGAACCCCTGCACATTTTTTAAAAATTGTAGAAAAAATTTGAAACTTATATAGGTGTAATCATTTAAGTCTCATCTTTAATTTAAGACCAAAAAAGTTAAAAAATCTTAATCGCTTATCGAGATATCATTATAAACGGCCGAGCATTTTCAGCCAAAAACCGTTCAAAATCGACTAACTCAATGCATTTGTCAAAAAACATGCTCCGACGTTTATAATGATATCTCACGAACCGAATAAGATTTTTAAACTCTTTTGGTCTTAAATTAAAGATGCGACTTGAATGATTACACCTATATAAGTTTCAAATTTTTTCTACAATTTTTAAAAAATGTGCAGGGGTTGAAAAAATTTCCAAAAAAATTTTAGTTTTAAAATTTTTTTGTCATATTTGTCGATTGCTGCAATTTTTGTATAAATTATTAAAATTTTCAGTTAACTATCATTAATCGCAGAATTTAATAATCTTTCGAATGGTATCTTTGTTAATTTTCTGACATTTGCATTTACAAAGAAATCGAGATTTAAAGATTGGCATGTTTTTAGGCCGTGCGTGTGCAGCCGTACCGATAATTCTCGACGGTAGTGTAACCGATTAATTGACTATTATCAATTAAATATTTAATTGAATCAAATAATATTTATTGGAGTCAATTAAATGGTATTTGTTTCAAATACTGAAATTGTTGGTTCAAATACCATTTAATTGACTTCAATAAATATTATTTGATTCAATTAAATATTTAATTGATAATAGTCAATTAATCGGTTATTTAAATCAATTAAATTTTTTTTTTCAGTGTAAGCTTGCTTCAATAATTTTCGGGAAGCTAGCAACAAGCTTTCCATGTTATCTAATATTTCATTAAATTTATTCTTTAATTCAATTTTTATTTACTATAATATAATAGATCTGGAGTTGTATATTATTATCCACGATCAATGGATAATAATAATATCATTATCAGTCAAGATAATATTGTGAAGGGTCTATTCAAGAGACGAATTCTTATACCCTCTGCGACATATACCCTATTACAACATTGGCATTTTTTTTATTATTATTCATTGATCGTGCATAATCTTATGCAACTCTAGATCTTTGGGGAAATTAGTGAAGATCTCTATATTAAAAAATAATTTAACTGTATATTTTAATTATTATATTATACTATAGGGGAGATTATACTATAGAAGGGTCTTATCACTCTAAATAAATGTCCGTATAGTTATGTGACATTCTGTTCATTTTTGTGGTATCTATAATATGAAGTATGAAATATTTCAACTTTTTTTGGATTTATTTTCATCACAATAAGTATTTTAGCCTATTTGGGTCCCCTGAAGATGTACCTAAAGGTATTTGCTAAATATTTTTAGTCAAATTTTGTATATTTGTTGTTAAAGCCAAAAACGCAACCTGGGGCTAAATGTTGAATAATGGGTGGGACTAAATGTTAAGTGTATTTTTTCATGTTTTTTACATTTTTCGTGTGTTTCGGGTTTATGTGTTTAAAAATTATTTATTTAACATTAGGCAAGTACGCGGTCAAAAAACGAGACCGCTCACATGAAATAAACCCATATTTTTTTATTTTGAGATTTTAATTTATTAACTCTATAACTGTTCTAAGGCTATTGTTAAATAAACAAAAGATGTTTTTTTAGCAATTTTTGTGTTATGTCTCAAAACAAATGCTAAAAATGGCTTCCTAATGTACAGTGTTTTAAAGTACTTAATTTTATCTTAAAAATAAAAAAATTATTTAATTTACTACAACTGTTCGAAAGTTACAGCATTTTCAAACAGTAAAAATGAGATGTTAAGATTGTTTCGACGAGATCAAGTTAAATATTTCATTATATTGTTAAAGTTCCTTAAAACTGAAACTAAATTTTTAAAATATGCTTTAATAAATCTGTAACAGTAAACGGACGACAGAATCTGAACATTGTGACTTTTAAAATACATGTAAAAAATATAATGTCTAGAAAGACACCTCGATTACCTACATACAAGCTCTGTGTGAGTTAAATGGTGATGGTGGATGATGAAACTATGGCTTCAAATTCATTCGAGAATATTTTGGACCCTGTAACAGATTTTTTAAAGCATCTTTTTAAATTTTGTTGGGTTTTTAATGAATTTTCATAATACATATAACAATATATTCGACCCTCCAAGCATCTACTTGTTCTCTTTGAAACAATGTTGCATCCTCATTTTCACTGTTTGAAAATGTAACTTTTGAACAATTATAGTAAATTTAATAATTTTTTCTTATTTTGAAGATAAAAATAGGTACTTTAAAACACTTTATTTTTTACTTTAAATACGTTGACTCCTTGACTTATGACTCGTTACGAAAACTTAGCGCCATGTACAATGACTTCGGAGTTACTATTTTATTATATTAATTTTCCTAAATTCTAAATAGTGTCCCAGTTGAAAATTCCTTTACTTCATCTACAATCCCTATATCATCAAGTGATTCACTGCAGAGAAAATTGAAAACAGTGAAGGAGTACAAAGACACGTCCAAGATTATTCTTATACATGTTTATGTATCAATTTCAGTATGAAACAAATTTTCTGGAAAAATTTCATCAAATTTTAATACAAATATAAACTACTGAATGACAAAGAAAGCTACTAAGTAGCCTTCAAAGTTTTATTAATACATATCACATAAATTACAAAAATTTTCTTGAACATGTTCTTGTATGTAATTTTTATGTGAGGTAGCACGAAGGTTAAACACATTTTATTTTGCAGGAATAAATGAAAATTGTCATTTTAATTATTATTCATTATTGAAATAGAGTGATGCAGCAAGCCTCGAACGGAGGATCTGTTTCATCTAGTCTTCAGCAAAATGGAGGGACATCAGATTCTGGTGGACCTCAGACTAATGGCAATATATCTACAGAAACGGATACCGATGTAAATGGGATCAATGGCGAAGCGAGTCCATCCTTAGGACCTAAAGTCATGGACAAAACAAACCAAGACATCGTGCGTCTTATTGGGCAACATTTAAAAACAGTTGGTCTTGAGTACGTTTTTTACGTTCACTGTTACTTTATAATCAATTTTTTCTATTCCTTTATACTTTTTTGTTTTGACGCGTCGAAAAATTAAACTTTTTGAGTATATCAGGCGCACGAACTCTGAGAATGACTCAAAGAGCGATTGGACAATCACAAGAGGAAAAAGATGAAATTTCCCCTTCCTATTTGTAACCGTCCAATTGATGACTGGGACTTTCTCACGGTCCGTGCTGTTGATATAGTCAAACAGTTAAACTTTTCGTGACTTGAGACGCTGCAAAAATGACGATTTTATATTTTTTGGTTTGTTTACATTTCACAACTTGGACATACCCTTAAATATATCATAATTATTTCAGCCGGACAGCGGATTTGTTAATGCAAGAGTCAGGTTGTCGTCTGGACCATCCAGCTGCCGCGAAATTTCGACAGCATGTCATGGATGGAGACTGGAATAAGGCAGACCATGATCTCAATGAACTCAAGTCTTTTCTGAATGGTGCTAGCCAAAGTCTAGTTGTAAGTTTTGTTCTTCTAAATAATTACAGTGTATCAGTATCATTTAATAATATTAATTGATGTTACGCAGGAAATGAAGTTTTTGTTGTTAGAACAAAAGTATCTGGAGTACCTTGAAGAAGGTCTTGTATTGGAAGCATTACAAGTTCTCAGAAATGAACTAACACCTTTAGGTCATAATACTGGTCGCGTTCATCAGCTATCAGCTTTCATGATGTGTAGTGATCGCGATGAACTGCAGGTAAGAAGGATGAAGTTATTTGTAAAATTTCTAACAAAATTGATATTTCATAAATGGGAATAAAAATTGCTTTCTTCTAATAGACACGGGCAGGATGGGACGGCAAAGGTTCAGCTTCAAGGGCTGCTTTGATGGATAGGTTGCAAAGGTATCTTCCTCCTTCTATCATGCTACCTCCTCGTCGTCTTCATTCTCTTCTTTGTCAAGCTGTGGAAATGCAAAATCAACAGTGTACATACCATGTCACACACTGTCAGGTGCGGATAGCACAATTTCTAATCACTTTATCAATCAATGAAGTTTTAATGTTTTGAAATGTCTAAAGTATTCATGAATTCAGGAGTAATTTGTCTCTTTTGCTTACTCGAGGAGTAGTAGTCCTTGTAGTCCTTCAAATTATAAAATTTTTAAAAATGGTTTAAACAAATTACGTTTATTTATTATTTACTATACTATAAAATTTTATTATTTACCTGAAGGCGAACTAAAATTTTTATTGTTTGCATCAAGACGAATCGATTGGTTTGTTAGCAATTATTAAAGCATATTAATGATTCCTCCACGAAGAAATAAATTTTTTTACTGATCGCAAAAAAGGAAAGCAAAATGTTCATGTGCTTGAAATTTATATTTACTACTTGTTTTCTTGCAGACGGGTTTAGAGAGTGCATCATTGTTGGTGGACCACAGTTGCAGCAAAGAACAATTTCCTTGTCATACCACACAAATTCTTAATGATCACTGTGATGAAGTATGGTACTGCAAATTCTCACCTGACGGTCTTAAACTGGCTACTGGCTCCAAGGACATGACTGTTATTATTTGGGACGTTGATCCAGTAAGAAAATTATTATTTATAGTGTTCAGGGTGGCCACGTGTCATTAAAGTCAGGAAAATGACACTAAAAAAATGTTTTTTGCCTGGAAAATTAAAGAAATTAAGGCGTGTTTATGCATTATGATAAGGCACTTAAGGTCAAAGTAGAATAGACTCTTGATATTATCAACTATATCCTCTTCTGTTTACATGCGTTTCTTATATACATTTTTATAAACTTTTATTAATTTTTCTTAAATTTTTATTACTTTCTACAGTGCCGCTCAATGACTTTTGCCCACCCTACAACGATTAAACACTTTACAAAAATTTTTGCACTTTGTTTATTATTAAGGAGGTTGTGTACAGGTATGCAGACCTTCAGAAAAAATATTGAATTGACATTAAAGAATTTTTTAATATTATTGTTATTCGTATCTTCTGGAAGAAAAAATATCAAATTTCAAGAAAAAAATTTGCAACTTGCAAAAATTGTTTATTTAATCATTTTGCATATGATCAAAGTTTTCTTCATATTAAAAGGTTAAACTTTTTCAAAACTGATTCGATTTAAGTCTATGATGGCTTATTTTCTTCAGAAAATGGTTCTCTATAACTTGACCGTTCAGATTTATAAACAAATACACCGTTTTGAAAATATGTTTATTTGTTTAAAATTTTTTTTTAAAATTAAATCACTTTTTTTAAACAAATAAGCATATTTTAAAAACGGTGTATTTGTTTATAAATCTGAGCGGTCAAGTTATAGAGAATAATTTTCTGAAGAAAATAAGCCATCACTGACTTAAATCGAATCAGTTTTGAAAAAGTTTAACCTTTTAATATGAAGAAAACTTTGATCATATGCAAAATGACTAAATAAACAATTTTTGTAAGTTTCAAATTTTTTTCTTGAAAATTGATATTTTTTCTTTCAGAAGATACGAATAACAATAATATTAAAAAATTCTTTAATGTCAATTAAATATTTTTTCAGAAGGTCTGCATACCTGTAAACAACCTCCTTAAAGTTACAAAGCTCGAAAAAGTCTCATTTGAAGGCTTATTTCCTGAATGTTATGTCAAAAGTTATGCCTTTTTAAAGTGATAGAGCTTTTTAAGAAATCGTCTCATTTTAATTGTACATATATATCAATTGAAAGATAATTTCTTCACCTTTAAGGTACACTCTCACCTCTACTGCCTGCCTGCCTGCGCAGGCAGGCGCCATAAGAGTGAGAGAGAAAAGACATTTAATTTGAATTTTCTGACTCTCTTACTCTTATGTGTTACCATGTCAACCTGCAGGCAGGCAGGCAGGCAGTAGGAGCTGTGCTAGCGCCTTTAAAACACATTTTTTAAAATTGTTGTAGAGACAAAATAAGTGAAACCGGCCACTTGAAAAACTTTTGGCTCCAATTTTCAAGTTATCTATTTTTGGTAGATATGTGAGTACACTTTTTCCCCCTACAATATTTTTTAAAAAACTTTTATTATGGAAGTAATCAGGTTTTGAAGTTTTGGGTCATTTTATTTTCATTTAATTATTATTTTGAAACAAATAAAGATAATGAAGTAAATTTTTTTTCAATTAAAGCCTAAAGTCTATACTTTGAAGATGAAATAAAGCGATTGCTAAAAAATGAAAATTTATAATTGTTATTAACAATTCTTTTAAACAATTGCAAATTGAAGTATGTTCTCAATGTTTTTGAAAGATTAAATTACGATGTATTGATGCGAAAAACTCCAAGGATTAATTTAAAAAAAAAGAAAAATCAGTAACCTTCAATATTATAGAAATTGTGTACATTTTTCTGCCAAAATGCAGGTGAAAATCGACTCTTAATCTTAAAAATCTGTTTGAAAACGTGAAGTTTCTAACAAAATAAAAGAAGATCTTATTTATTTGTTTGCAATTTTATCTTTTTCCAGGAACACGAGTCGATTTTCGCCTGCATTTTGTCAGAAAAATTTACATAATTTCTATAATATTGAAGGTTACTAATTGTTATTTTTTTAAAATTAATACTTGGAATTTTGCGCATCAATACATCGTAATTTAATCTTTCGAAAACGTAGAGAATATTTTTCAATTTACAATTGTTTATAAGAATTGTTAATAACAATTAAAAAAATTTATTTTTTAGCAATCGATTTTTTTTATCATCAAAGTATAGACTTTAATTTTAAAAACTTCCACTTAATTATCTTTATTTGTTTCAAAGTAATAATGAAATGAAAATAAAATGACCCAAAACTTCAATACCTGATTACTTCCAAAATAAAAATATTTTTTGAAAAATATTGTAGGGGGTGAAAATGTACTTGTATGTCTATTTTGGCTCTGTACGATAATTTTTAACAAAAATATGTCCGTTTGTTTAAAAAATTAGACATTTTTTTCAGTTGTTGATAACTTATAAACGGTTACTTTTGATAAAAAATAAAAAGATAAATTGTTCGTTTTTATGTACAATAAGGAAATTTTGTTAACATTATTTGAAAAAATTATTATTTACTTGTTTTATTGTTTTAAATTGTAACTGTCGAAATTCGCACTTTGTACTTAACAAAACAAACAAGGAAGTGTAACATCGTATTTGTATCTTCGTTTTTAATGGTTTTAATTTTGAAATCATTCAATTACATTTCAACTTTTGTCTTTACATTGCTTAAAACTTGTTTAAAATTTATGAAATTTATAAACTGTTAAATGCAAATATTTTAATGATATGTTTTTCCAAGATAATCAATTAAACATCTAAAAAATATAATTTAAAAATCTCATTTTTAATTTGCTACTCTAGAGGCAGAAAAAAACACTCATCTTTGATGATTTATTTTGGGAAAATGAAATAAGCAATTTTTTGTTTGGCGAAAAAGTAATTGGCAACCCTAATAACTTCAGAGTCAAAAGGCAAACGTTACTGAGCGGCAGTGAATAAAAAAAATGTCTCAGGCTATATGTATATTCAAATTTTAGAAAAGGGAGCGTTCACAAATGATGTCACGCAATTTTTGGAGATTTTCGACCCCCCCTGTCACGCAATTTTTGCAATTTCATATGAGAAAAATACATTGTGTCACGTTTAGTAAGACCCCCCCCCCTACCCCCTAAAGCGTGACATCATTTGTGAACGCTCCCTAAAACAATGTTCGTCAATTCTTAGTGAAATGCAGTAACAAAAGACTCAAAAAATGAATATTCTTTTCAATGAATCGAACGATTCTAATAGAAAACAATAATGTTTATTTACAATTTGCATTAAACAGTATAATAATATAAAAATGTACTCTCAGGAAACGTTAAAAGTGACGCACAGAAAAACGTTAGAAGGACATACATATGGTGTAGCCTTAATAGCTTGGAGTCCGGATAGTAGTCACCTTATAGCCTGCGGACCCGAAGATTGTCCAGAGTTGTGGCTTTGGAGCATTGACACTCCAGACTGTGACCTTCGAGTAAAATTAACACAAAGCACCGAAGATTCCCTTACGGCCTGCGCCTGGCATCGCGATTCTAATAAATTCGTTACAGGAGGAATGCGAGGTCAATTTTATCACTGCGTATGTCGTTATTTTCTTTTCATTCATAAATATATTTTGTTATAATTAAAACAAAGCTTATTTTTAATCCTATTTATTCTCAGGATATGGACGGTAACGTCTTAGATTCTTGGGAGGGAGTGCGAGTGAAGGGCCTGTGGTGCAGAAATGATGGTAAAACTGTTCTAGCTGCTGATTCTCATCATCGTATTAGAGCCTACAACTTTGATGAATTATGCGATTTCACGATGTAAGTTTGGGAAAGATGGGAAATTGTTTGAATGATTTATTTAATTGAATCTAAAATGGTGAATGATCGATTTTTAGATTGCAAGAAGATCATCCTGTCATGTCCTTTAGTGTTAACAAGGCAGACCGACAAGCTCTACTTAATGTTGCTAATCAAGGAGTGCACCTCTGGGATTTACAGGATAGATGCTTAATTAGACGTTTTCGGGGAGTAACTCAAGGACACTTCACTATCCACAGTTGTTTTGGAGGCGTCAATCAAGATTTCATCGCATCAGGAAGTGAAGGTAAATATTTAATGGAGTAAAAATTTAATTATAAATAAAGTTCAATTTAAAAGAGAATAATAGAATAACTTGAAGATTCAATAAGTCATAGAAAACGGAATTTTATTTTGGTTTATGGTAATCTCAAGGAATTTCTAATAAGATTTTGGATTAGATCTTAGACTGGGTTCTAATTAGATCTTAAAATTTTTTAAAATTTTTGCATATTATGTCAATTATTTGTGATGTGCCTTAGCACACACGCAGTCCAGGCGCTTTGTCGAAAGTATGTGACATAAATCCTATCTAATTGGGAATAGCGCCATTTGATAAATTAGTGGTTTAGAAACAATGCCCATAAGTCATTTTTCAGGGTTGCTACAGGTCAGGGAAAAGTCAGGGATTTTTATTAAAGTAACTGGAAAAAATTGAATTTTGGAGAAGTTACAAATGATTGCGGAAATTCAATTATTTTCAAATGTAATAAAATTCTTCGCAGAAATTCAATTATGTTCAATAATTTAAAAAAATTCTCGTCAAAATTCAATTATCTTTAAAAATAATAAAATTCTTCTCCAAATTTCAATTATTTTCAAAAATTTTAATAAAATTCTTTGCAAAATTTCAATTATTTTCAAAAAATTTTCCTCAATTTAATGATTTTCAATATTTACTATTTTAATAAAATTTTTCAAAAGAATTCAATTATTAAAAAAAAAATGTTGATTAAATTCTAAGCAAACATTAAATTATTTTCATAAATAGTAAAAATTTCACAGGAATTCAACTAATTTACAAATTTTTTTATAAATTTCTTCGGAATAATTCAGTTATTTTCATAAATAATAACATTTTTTACAAAAATTCAATTATTTTCTTGAATAATAAAACTCATCATAGAATTTCAATTATTTTTAATACAATTTTAATCGAAGATTAAAAGAAAAAGAAGAAGAATTTTATTAATTTATGATAAAATTTATAATTTTTATAACAATAAATTCATTTTTTATAATTATATTTATAATTTTTTTTTATTCATTTTATTTAATTTATTTTTATTTTCTTTATTTATTTCTTGCAACAAATTTTATCAACATTTTTTTTTAAATAATTGAAATAATGTAAAGAATCTTATCATTTATGAAAATAATTGAATTTCTGCAACGAATTGATAGGTCCTGGGTTTCGGGCCCCAGCAGAGTTAGTCTCACATTTTTTCATAGTTTTAAGTTTATTTTTCATTTATTATTTACGAAAATAATTGAATTCTTGCAACGAATTTTATTATATTTTTTGTAAATAATTTAATTTTTTTTTTGAAAAATTTTATGAAAATCTAAATTTTTATAAAACATGAAGACATAAATTACTCCGAGTCGAAGATTCGGAGTGATTTATATGTTCATGTTTTATAATAATATTCTTATAAGTTGTTGAATTTAAATTCAAAAAATATTTAAATTTAAATGTTTTGAAGAATTTTAATTCCTATGGAAAAACAATAATATAATAATATTATTATATATAATAATTTTACAGTTAAACAAATTCATAAATAAATGTAATAGAACATTATTTTGAGTATCGAATCATTTTTAGATTGAATCGCAGAATATTCTTTAGGGATAAAGTCAAAATTTTGTCTGGAAATCAGGGAAAAGTCAGAGAAAAATAAAATTAATTTTTTGTGGCAACCCTGTTGTCTACGTACGGTAGTGTACGTAGAAAAGAAAAATAACGATTTCAAAATTGATGTTTTTCCAAAACCGGTTTTTTAATTTTTCAAAATTTCAAAAATTTTATTTCTGGTGCTAATTTTATTAAAAAATAGAATTAAAACGAAAGAATTTTCTTTTTTGAAAATCTAAAATCAGTTAAATATAACCAAAGTTACATGACTTTTAAAAAAAAAGTGCAAAAATTTTGAAATTCCGTATTTTTGGTGATTTTTTAAATTTTGAATAAATATTTGGTGGGGTTGTTTTTCACTACTAAAGTAATAAATTTACAAAAGTACAGGCAAATCCCAGCAAGTCATAAAAATTAGTGTGTTGAACTGACGCGGAATCCACTTATTAATACTGTAACTATTTAAATTTGTTTTAAAAATCTAAAAATTGAGATTGTACCTTCAAAAACATTTAACTAACCAAAGTTTCAAGTTCTTATTTCATGAAGAACACTTACAATTGTTAATTATGTGAAAAGTGTCTTTTTCAAAATATAGATTGAAAAATCAATTTTTTCTTAAGAAGTTGTAAATTTTGGTAAAAAGATTAAACTTAAGTTATCAACTTTAAAACTCAGAATTGAAAGATGATTGGCCATCATAAGTAACTTATTTTTATTAAGAAATTGCCATCTGAAATAGCCTAAATCGCTGAGATTGGGAGCTCATTGTAAAAATCGATTTCCTTAACTGGATTTGCTTGAAATTATTTCTAAAATTTACTATTTTTGAAAATTTTGGACATTTTAAATCCGCCATTTTTAATTTCTTAAATTTAACTTTTGATTTGTCATTAACCACAGAAACTCGCAAACAACGAATTGCAAACAAATCCAGTTATGAAAATCAATTCTTACATGAACTCTGTATCCCAGCTATTTTGACTATGGCTGTTATCGGTATTACTCGGGGTTTCAGTTGAAAAATAAGTTTAAATTTAAAGTGAAATACCTCATTGAAAAATATATCTTTTATAATGTATTTGCAGATAATAAAGTGTACGTATGGCACATAAGAAGAGAATCTCCCATTGCTACACTCACAGGACACAGTAGAACTGTAAATTGTGTCTCTTGGAATCCAGTCTATCATCAAATGATGGCGTCAGTGTCTGACGATTGCACAGTGCGGATATGGGGTCCACGTTCTGCATCACCAGAAAGAAGAGATAATGGTTAGAAATTTTTCATACTGTACTTTTCTATCCTTTGGAAATTAATTTTTTCAAATAATCTCGGTCACTAAATAATGAAAAATATTATTTAGTAATAACAATCGCAAAATTGGGTTACTTTAAAAATGAATTTTTGAATAATCTTTTATTTATTATTTGATTTCTTTAAATCCGAACATCAATTATTCAATTTATAATAATAAATTTAGTCATTCTTGACAAATGTCAATAATTTTTTTTTATAATTTTGTAATAAATTATGTCTTTTAAATTATTTTCTATTTGTGTCATTTTCGCTATTTCTTTTATTACCTATAATTAAAGATGATTAAAAATTAACTGGTTCAATTGATTATGATTAAATTGATGAATCATTTCATTCTTTAAGGGAATGTTAAAGTAGTTATGAATTTTTCATTGCACCTTCGTGGAAAAATCGCATCGACTTTGACGTCCCCTTAACGTAATAATACAGAAATTTATTGATTTGGTTATGGAACTTTAAAAATAATAAATAATATAAAATAAATACAGGCATCACAGTTGGTCCCCTTTTGTCCCCTTATTTCAATTTTATCACCTTTTTTCCCCCTTTTTCACCTTTTTCTAATAAAAAATAAACAAGTTTTTCTTTTTTTGAAATATTTTTCAAAGTGTAATCATAAAATTTAGACTCAATGTTATAGAATTCAGTGTGCTTTATTTTTTATTTAGATTATTATTCTTTTTAAATAACTTAATTCTTGAAGAACTATCATAAAAATATTACTTAGAAATTATTTAACGAATAATTTTATTTATAGATTTCAAAATTAATTTAATTTTAAAAGAGATGCGTTTACAATTTTCATAAATAGATTAACTTCAAAAGATTTTAATTTCAAATTATATAAAATTTAAATTTTAAATAAATTTCATTCAAAATTCTAAAAAACTTAAATTTTTGCAAAAATTTTCAATATTTAAATAATTCTGAAATTAGTTAAATTTTTTTATTTAATTAATTATTAAAAATAATGAATTTCTCGAGAAATTTCAGTTAAAAACACTAAATAAATTTTAATTTTGGAAAAGTTTCAAATGATTCTAGTTAATTAAATAATAGATATCGAGCTAAATCAATTGTGGCCTTTTAAAACTACAGGGTGTCCAGCTACCTTGAAAACCTTGAAAACCTTGAAAATTAATTGAATTTTTTTTTGCTCCTTGAAAACCTTGAAAAGTACTTGAATTTTATGACAATACCTTGAAAAATTAAAATTTATAAAAGTGAGATTTATTTCCTTGATGTTTTAAGTTGAATTCTCGTCAATATTTACATTATCTTTATAAATATAAAAATTCTTCGCCGAAATTCAATTATATTCAGGTACTTTAATAAAATTTATTGCAAAATACAATTATTTTTATAAATAACAATATTCATCACGAGAATTCAATTATTTTAAAAATTAATTAAATTCTTCTCAGAAATTCAATTATTATTTTAAAAAAATCAAAATGAAAATTTTGGTCAACATTTCAATTATCTTTATAAATAAATAACAATAATCTTCTATAAAGTTCATTTATTTTGTGGAATTTTAATAAAATTCATTGCAAAATTCAATAATTTTAATATAAAAAATAGAATTCATCACAAGAATTCAAATACTTTTAAAAATTTTAATAAAAATCATGGCAAATTTTCAAATTATTTAAAAAAATTTTTTTTTCTTCGATGGTTTTCAATATTCTTTTATTTTAATAAAATTTCACGAAAGAATTTAATTATTAAACAAAAGTTTTTAAAAAATTCTTCACAAACTTTCAATTATTTAAAAAAAAATTTTTTACATTCATTCAATTATTTAAAATAGAATTTGCATAAATTTTTTCGCAAAAATCAATTGTTTCAAAATTTTGCATTAAATTCTTCGAAGTAATTCAATTATTTTCAAAAATTTTAATAATATTCATTTAATAAAATTCGTTTTAAAATTTGGCATTAAATTCTTCGCAGTAATTCAATTATTTTCAAAAGTAATAAAATTTAATTATTTTCAAAAATTTTAATAAACCTCATTGCAAAATTTCAATTAGTTTCAAAAATTTTTCTTAATTTAATAATTTGTGTATCAATTATTTTTAATCGAAATTTCCAAAAGAATTCAATTATTTAAAACCAATTTTGATTGATGTTTCTTAAATCTATGTTCTTTATATTTCTAATATTTTATCAATAAATTGTATTTAAAGTTGTTTATGAATAACTAATTGAGGAGCTGGATTCTATAACCGGCTCTTCGCTCGAACTCACGCAGAAGATAGTCCCTTCGTCATTTATGTCATGAAAATTTAAAAGTCAAAAAAAAAATATTTAAAAATTATGACGTTGTAGAGGAGAAAAAAATACATCTTTTTTCTATTTACAATTTTTTTCTAGAATGCAAGTTATTAATACTAAAAAATAAAAACTAAAAATTTTTTTTCTGAAAAATTAATTACCTTTTGATAAATATATCGTCATTTCTCAGTCAAATATTAATGAAATGAACCGATTTTTTTTAGGCATGCACAATATATCTTACCGAAGCCCACAAGCCAAAGTAAAGTAAAAAAAAACAAATTGTTTATTAATTATTAATTTTGAAAGTTGTTATTTACAACAACAGGAATTTCAATTTTCAACGAGAAAAAGTATGCGACGAAATTTCACATTATGAAAACTTCTCGCGAGAAAGTTTTTCCTTTATTATTCAGGAAGTTTTTCCAAAAAGAATTAAACCGATTCGATGAGAAATAAAGAAAATAAAAGAAAAATAGCGAAACAGTATTTTCGTTCGCAGCGAAAACCCTGTTCGGCAGCCATGTTTGTCATATGACTTGTAACGTACGCACGCACACATTTCTATTTTACACAGCAGCGTGAGTGTGTGAGCGTGCGTAAGCTACGAGTCATATGATAAACATGGCTGCCGAACAGGGTTTTCGCTGCGAACGAAAATACTGTTTCGCTATTTTTCTTTTATTTTCTTTATTTCTCATCGAATCGGTTTAATTCTTTTTGGAAAAACTTCCTGAATAATAAAGGAAAAACTTTCTCGCGAGAAGTTTTCATAATGTGAAATTTCGTCGCATACTTTTTCTCGTTGAAAATTGAAATTCCTGTTGTTGTAAATAACAACTTTCAAAATTAATAATTAATAAACAATTTGTTTTTTTTGACTTTACTTTGGCTTGTGGGCTTCGGTAAGATATATTGTGCATGCCTAAAAAAAATCAGTTCATTTCATTAATATTTGACTGAGAAATGACGATATATTTATCAAAAGGTAATTAATTTTTCAGAAAAAAAATTTTTAGTTTTTATTTTTTAGTATTAATAACTTGCATTCTAGAAAAAAATTGTAAATAGAAAAAAGATGTATTTTTTTCTCCTCTACAACGTCATAATTTTTAAATATTTTTTTTTTGAGTTTTAAATTTTCATGACATAACTGACGAAGGGACTATCTTCTGCATGAGTTCGAGCGAAGAGCCGGTTATAGAATCCAGCTCCTCAATTAACTATTGTATGTATGTAGAAATTATAAAATTGTTTATAAATACTCTCTAAATTTTAATTAGTGAAAATATTTACTAATTTGAATTAGTTACTGACTTCTTGCTTTTTAATTAGTAAATTTCACTAAAAAATTAGTATAAATGATTATTTATTAGTAAAATTTACTTATTCAAAAGAAAAAAGTCAGTCATTAAATCAAATTAGTATTTAAACTTAGAGAGTAAGTAAAAATTTACTTGAAATAAAGTTATTGAAGAAAACTTATAAAGAGAACTTACTCTATTACACTCGATTATAAATAACAAATATTTTGAAAATTAGTACCCTAAAAATGGACCTTGAAAAAAATTATTTTGCACCTTGAAAACCTTGAAAAGTCCTTGAATTTTTTTTTAAAGAATCGCTGGACACCCTGAACTAGATAATATACCTTTGATTTAATCGTTTGACCAAATAAATTGAAGTTAAACTCTAATCACAGTAACTGTTTTTATCAAAGTTGTAACAACTGCACCTAGTCTCCCCTATTAGGGACAGGAACTTTATGCTTTTCGACAAGACAATTTATGCTATTCAAAAACTTGTAATTATTCTGTAATTATGCTTTAAAAAATGAGAATTATGCTATATAATTATGCTCTTAAAAGTGTTAACTTATGCTTTAATTATGCTTTGACCTTAAGAAATTTAAACTTACGCTCAATATTAATATGTAAATCTAATAAATTTTAAATTGAACCATTGAAATAAGAAAGTATAAAAAATTTTACATAGGTATATCATTTGAGCCTCCGGAAAGTATAACCACACATAAAATTCTGACGCCCATTGAATTAACATATGGCGGTCAGTATTTTATGTGTGGTTATACTTTCCGGAGGCTCATTTAATAATATTAGAAAGAGGAATGCATGAAAGTGGGAAATATTTAGAAAATGAAAAATTGTATTCAATTAAAACAGTTTAATACTTTTATAGAGACAAATTGAATTCAGTGTTTATTACTAGAATACCTACTCTTGAAAACTGAAGCAGTGAAATTTTACTGAAGATCAGTTAAAAATGATTGAAATTTTAGTCATTTTTCACTAATTGGACATTTAAAAAATAACTGAAATTTTCAATATGCGTGACAGAAATTTCCAGTAATTTTCTAAATGGCCAATCAGGGAAAAGTGACTAATATTTCAATCATTTTCAACTGATTTTATTGACATTTTACTAATTCAAATCGCGAAAATAGAGTCACTGAATTTCACAGATTTACAGTGTTTCAGATGTCGAGTTTTATTACCGACGGTTTTTAAATGTTTATTGTGATTTTGTTCGGCAATATTTATGGGACGTATTTATAAATTTAACAATTTTTAGCAAATAAATTATTTAAAAAATACAATATTACAAAAATGCTATGATATTATTTGAATAATATCATGGATTCAGTTAAAAAGAAAATTTGTTGAATAAAAATCATGACCTGAGTTGCAAAATTATGCGGCATATATGTTCAGAATGGATTATGATTTCAATGCTTTTGCAAATTGCAATTATTTTTTATGAATAATACTTTTTAATACTAATCTTAACACTAGACAAAATTTTAAAAAATGATGCTTTTATGCTTAAGCATAAAGTTTCTGTCTCTATAAATTATTTAACCTAAAAAATCGATTTTCTTCAAAACGGCTCGATGAAAGATTTTGGTTTTTTTTTGTAAAATACTTAGAAAAGTGTCTAGATTCAATATATGAAAAGTCATTTACAGTGGGAGGACCTTTAGGTTAGAATGGTTTAAAACCCACCGTGATATACTACTTTAATAAAATTTTCCAAAAAAATTCAATTAAAAAAAAAAATATATTAAAATAAACATAATAATAAACATTTCACATGAATTCTATTATTATTTTAAGTACAATTTTAATCAAATACCTCGAAAAATATAATTATTTTTAAAAATTTTATTAAAATTCGTCGAAAGAATTTAATTATTTAAAAATTTGTTGATAAAATTCTTTATGAGAATTCAATATTAAGAAACATTGAATTATTCAATATAAATTATTTATTATATTCAATATTCAATTAATAGGCTTTAGGATCCGTGAATTCTTTTTTCACGGATCCTAAAGCCAATTAATTGAAGATTGAATATTATATATTATAAGGATCAATTAAAACATCAAAATATGTCATAAAGATAAATTATTTATTTTTCTATTTAAATAATTGAATCCTCGTAGAATTTTCTAATAGAAATTGATTTAAAAGTTAATTTTCAGTTAAAATTTTACATAATAATTGAATATTAAAAGCATTATAGCGTGGATTTTTTTTAGAAATAATTGAATTTTGAAAAAGTTTCAAATTGAAATCTTTGAAAATCTGAATTTGTCATATTTTTAACAAACAATTCTGTAGAATGAATTTTTTTCAAAAAGTTTAATTGAAATTATTCGAAGTTTTTATTTTCAAATATATATTTAATTGTAGAATTTCTGAATAATCGATGAAATTTCGTAAAATTGAATTGTAAGCAAATTTTGTACTGTGATGCCTGTAAATAGAAAAATAATAATAAATGAAAATAAAATATATGTAATAAAATAAATGAAAATAAAAAATAATAAAATAAATAGTGACCCTTAAGGCAACAAAATGGAAAAGTATGAAGAAAATCTGAGATTCAAAGTTTGCCCAGCTCATGGAACGCCCCATAAGTATTATTTAGTTATCAGTATACTTTACAATTCTTTTACTTGATTCAGTAGTTAAAACCTTTGATTATTAAAATTTATTATTATTTTTTGGGGGTTTGCCATCTGAAATCGACACATTCCATAAGTTATTTAAGCATAAAGTAGAAGAAGTAAACCGACAGATTAGCTCAGTCGGATAGATGCCTCGCTTGGCGGTCGTTTAAGGACCAAGGGTATAAGTACCCTTGGTTCGCGCCCATTTGGCTTGGTATTTTTCCGGCACGTGAGACAATCTGAGCGGGAGGTTTGACGTCGAGGTATAATGATGTGCACCGTCGATTATTGTCCGGTACACACCATTAGAACTCTCCACTGTCGATAAACCGGTTGTACTCAGGAGAGAGGTTTTCTACAGTTTCCCTCTTCTCTGGCGAGAAAACCCATTGACGGGTGGTCCAGGCGAATGCGAGTACTCCTAATAAAAGTCGGCTGTAGACGCAAATTAGGTTAATATATAGAAAATTTCATAAGTAGAATGGTTATGCTTAATCCAAAAAGTATTTCTTGGGGACTCTTGTCGAAGTGCGTAAGGCCAATAGGGCAGGAGTATAAACAATAAATAAATAAAAAAAAAAAAAAAAAAAAAAAAAAAAAGTAGAAGAAGTAGTTAAATTAAAGAATGATTTTTTTATTCCAGCTGTGCCAGAGAGCAATTCATCAAATGGTAGTGGATGGAATGAGATGGTGTCGTAGCAAACTTGTGTTAATCCATCCGCCCACAACTCCATAGTGTTCAAAAGGCTGTCGTGTTGACCGTTTCGCTGACTCTCTTCTGGCCTCGCTTAAGAACACTTCGCATTACGTGAGTTACCAGCTTCGAATTGTCGAGCACCCTGTGGCAAAGTTTGATTCTCAACAAATTAATTATCAAGCGGGAACTGTGTAATAAGAGTATATGCGTGAGTCTTTTTTTCTGTACACCAATTTGTGAATTATTAGTTTAAAAAGAAACGAGATTATTGAGAAAGCCATAGAAGGCGGTGAGAAAAGAAGATAACCACGATGAAGAACGACTTTACGAACACTTTCACAATAGCGATTATTTACCGCGAAACTATTTACTCGCAGTATTTAGTTTCGCTTAAAACGATTTAGAATCCAAACATCGATTACATAGAGTTGACAAACTTGAAAGAGTTTTTGAAAGAAAGAAGAAAAATAAAGTCAAGAGAAAGTCATTTTTCCCTCAACATATCCTTACGGGATAAAAGCAAATTTCCTAGCAATCAAGAATTTCATTTCGTGAATTTATCAAAAATTGGGTTGGTTGTCAACGTATCTTTAGACGTCAATGCAGTTAACTGAACAAGAATTGCTCTCAATATCGTCAGTAGTTATTTGCTCACAAATTGGAAAACTGAGAAGAAAGAATCAAGATTCGCTGGGTTTGCACTTGCGCATTCCTGATGATAAATATCAATTCTCGTGATAGTCAAGGAACATTAATATAAATGGACAACATTTAACAATTTCTAGCTCGAAAAAGATAACGCGAAGACTCTAAAGAAAAATTTTATTTATAATTCATTAATCGAGTGATTTCTTAGTGTAGACACGTTAACATTGGACAGGCTAAAGAAACGTTAGCTTTATCTTATTAACTGCCAATTTTGTTTTTTCTTTCACATTAGAGCGTAATAATCGTCATTATTAAACACACTTTCATTATTGTGACTAATTCCCTCTTTCTCTCTCTATCTCTCTCTATCTAATCTACAAATCATTGACTGATTTGTACTCATTCATTTTAAATCGAAAAGTATATAGTAAGAAAATACATGCTTTCATAAAGCGTAACTTATAAAACATTCTAAATCTATTTGGAAAAATTATGATTTAATTTGAAATGATAGAAAAATCCATTGAAAAATAGGTTTATTTTTCAAATTCTTTCGTATCGATCAATGGAATCAATTTAAAAAAAATTCAATTCAGATTTATTAAATGATTAATAAATATTATTTTCAAATTTTGGCAGATGGGCAGTTAATGAACGAATATTATATTCATGAGATAATCATTATGTAAAAGGCTTGTAATGCGCCGAGAGCAGTAAAATATATGTGTACAGAAGACTTTTCAATAAATAATATATGAAATACATACAGTTGCATGCAAAAGTGTAGATGTTTCTGATTCGGTTAATAATGTCGTATCATTTGAACCATTACAGGCTTCGCATTCATCTTCTAAAACCTACTACTTACTACTTTTTTCTTCAGATTTCCTATCATTTGGAAACTTTTTTAGGTTTGTGACACTAAAAGATACTTTTTTCTTTTTTTTTAGAATTTACACAACTTTAAATTCACTAATTGAAATAAAAAAATTGTTCTCAACAATTTTAATAAAATTCTTAGAAAAAATAAATTATTTTTAAATATTTTAAGAAAATTTTTCACAAGAATTCAATTATTTTCACAAATAATGAAATTTTAATAAAAAATTCAATTATTTAATAAAAATTTAATAAAATTCTTTGCAAGAATTCAATTATTTCGACAAATAAAATTTATTTCTTAGAAGAATTGATTTAAAAATGATTTTTTTAAAAATCAGATAAAATTGTACTTAATAATTAAATATTTCAATCTCAAAAAATTTTTTAATTGTCTTTGAAAATTTTAATTGTTGTAAAACTAATACCTAAATATATAAATATTTATTATAAAAAATTAATTATTTATTATTTTTCAAAAGAATTGTTAAAATTTTGAATAATTTTATTCAAAAACTACAAAATATGATTGAATTTTTTATTTTAATTTTTAGAAATAATTAAATTTCAAAAAGGTTTTATATTGATAATATTTAAAATATTGATTTGTGTGGAAAAGTAAATAAGTATTGAATTATTTATTTAACAATAATTATTTAAGTTTTGAATAATTTAATTTAGAAATTTTAATAAAAAATTAGTCTTTTGAAAAATTGTAATTAAAACTTTTAGAAGATTATCAAATTCCCGGAAACAATTTAAAAAGAGTAAATTAAATTTACATTTTTTATTGAAATATAATTTTTATATTTTAATGAATTTTATTTTTTTACTTTTAGAAATTATTTTTAAATATAATCGTATTTTTGAAGAATTTTAACTAAAATTTAGGAAAATAATTGAATTTTTAGAAGAAATTCGAATTGAAATTTTTAGCCTGATAAGAAAGAAAGTGAATATTTTTTATGGAAATCAGGAAAAAGTTAGGGAATTGCTCAATCAAGTTTTCGTAAATCGACTAAAACCAGTTTTTATTTTTTTAGCCGTCGAATTCAATTTTTCGATTGCTACTTTTTACTACTTTTTTCAGTCTTAAAGTTACTTTTTTAAAATTAATTATCGAGTGCGAAGCCTGCCATTAATTAATAAACACAATATAGTGTATATCTGGAATTGATTTGTTCAGCATATTTAATTCATTAGTATAATTTTAAGCTGAATGCAGATTATGATTAAAATTTACGTTTAAATCATCGCCACATGGAAAAATTAAATACAAAAAATAAATTCGAATGTTTCACGCTGAGAAATATTGGGATGATTTATTTAGATACGCGATCAAATAAATAAAGACTAAAGGCCTGAACTGGCTGAAAAAATATCCTGACAACAACTGGTAATTTGGTTGACAAAAATATGTACGCCAACCAATTATTACTAAAGCCAATTTTTTAGATCGTGATCGAGATTCTGAGTATATTAATTAAACCCTTTTTCTAGGTGTTCAACACAAATGTAATTCCATTACATGTATGCCTTTCTAACTCTAAACAAATTAAAATACTTGTTTTTAAGTTATAAAATAGTGTCGGTGACTTAAACATATATATTTAAAAAGGTAAAAGTAGAATCAAATACCAATCGATAGGTTGCTTAAAATTTAGCGTTACTTATTTTTTTTGGTTTATCCTGATAAAAAATGAATTGTTAAAAAATCGTTTATTACTTTTTTTGCATATATGCCTTTGGTGCCTTAGCACTTTTGAGTTTGAATTCAAAACAAATGAAAAATTGCTAATTTATTTTCACTTATTATAAATTATGTCGATGTAATTGTTATTCAATAATTAAATGCGTTTTTGTGTAGAATGTAGAAGTAAAAATATTTTAAACGATTATACGAAATGTAAGTTAACATAATGAGGAAGAAAAGGATTAAATAAAACTAGAGGTGGTGAATAATTTCTCTGAAAATTTTTCGTTCTATTATGGTATCTTAACTGATTAGAAATAGAGTTTTGCAGTAGAAATAACATTTTTTTCGCAGCTAATTTAATTATTATTTGAAACTTAAAAAACGATATTAACATTATGTTTATGTTGAAAAATAACAGGCGAAAAGTAATTGCAGTTTTTTTCTAAAACAACTTCAAGAATAAAATTATTTTTAAAAGACTATTCAAAAAAAGCTAAAAAATTTGAAATTATCATTTGTTATGTTAAAAAATAGAGATATTTTTTATGTCAGGTATTTAGGAAGGCTTTAATATTATCTATATTTGATTATTTAAAATACATGTCTAGAGAAATTTTATTTTCCACCAGTAAAATTTATGACTTGTGGCACTAAAAAATTTGAAATATAATTGATATTTTCAATTTCATATTAAATAGTATTTTTATTTCGTATCGTGATCTTTTGAAGAAGACAAAATTTCACCTTTTATAATAGAAAAGAACATGAGAAGAAATCCTTTTAAACAAATAAAAGATTAATATAGAAGAATGATATTGCAGCACCAATAGCCTTTGATATTATGTATAATAATTTTAAATAATTTTTACAAAAATACTGCCAAAAATATTATCTTTTGAAAATTTAAGACCAAGACTAGGTTAGTTAATTTAATAACTTAAATACATACATTTCTTAGTCATCTGGAATCGTGCAGTGTATAATATAATCATAATAATATTATTGTCTTAATTATTTGATAGTGCACTTACAAGAGAGCCCATTACACAATTTAAAAAAATAAAATCACAATAAGAATCAAAGATGATTTCTAATCATTATTAAGGAGAGAATTTGTTTTTTCTTAATAAAATTTTTGGAAGAAGATTTTAATTTTTACAAATAATGTTTAAATTTTTTTATATTTTATCAAAAATCGTGAAAATTTAGTGTAAAATAAATTCTTAATCATTTGCATACTATATATTTAAGTGGGAGAAACATTTATAAAAGTAGAGAAAAGGACAATAAAAATTAAATTGGTATGAATTTTCTGATTAATTAGGTTTTTTATATATATTTTTTCGAATAGTAATTTTTAAATCAATTGTTATTTAAGTATGCATCAAATATTCATTGTGTAAAATCATTGAAATAGAAGAAAAATTATAAGTAACAAAGAGAAGAACATCAAGTACGTAACCAACTTATATTACTGTTTGGTTAGTACAATCCGCTGCACAAAATTAATACTTCACTGTTATGATAATTGCCTGTGGCAGTTTTTAGAATTATATAAATATTCTTCGACACTGTAAACATTTGAATTATAAGATGCTCAGTATCTGAAATCAAATGTTAGTTTTTAAAAAAATGATCACATCGTATGGAGTATAAATTAATGAAAAGTCTCGTTTTTCTCATGAGTGCTTCAATTGTTTTAAAGACACATTTTTTCTAGTGTCTTGCACATTTTTGCTCATCTAATTATGTATCAAAAGAAAAAGTAAAGCAGTATCAAAAGAAAAAAAATTTAAGTACGACAAAAGACTGTAACTACTTGTTAATTTTGTGATTTTGGAATAATTTGCAATAGTATTATTACATTATTATTATTATTATTATTATTATTATTATTATTATTATTATTATTATTATTATTATTATTAAAGGTGTGAAAAAAGCTCGAAAAGTTGAATTAGTTTGATCCAAGAGACAAGTTTAAATTTTCTTCACGTATCGAAACTCGAAAAGTTTTAATGCACGAAATCATTAAAAAACCTAATGAATTTCGAGCTGTTTGCACAACCCTTATTATTATTATGTTATTAATTATTATAATAATTATTAATATTATTTTTATCATTATTACTATTGTAGTGAAGTTCTTGCGTACAGTTATGCAGAATTCAGATTGATAATAAATATATTTTTTCTGAAATTCTTTTGTGAAGCAAAATAGTAATTATATATTGTATATACATATAAGAAGGTAAGAAAATTGATATTCTACGCTGTATTGTGCTTATATAAATGAGACTTTCAGAAGTCTGAAAAAATGCTTTGTATAATATATTTGCAATGCAATTGGCTCGTCATGTTATTGAAGTTATAAAATCTAGAATATAAAGATAGTTAATGTTTAAATGTATTTTATCTTAGTGCATTATTTTTGTGTTTTGGATTAGTGATGGGATATCGATAACAAATCTTTTCATTATTATAAATACATATACATATATATAAATTAGAAATGAGATAATTGTCTGTATATCTCGCTTACATGGAAATCCATTTATACAAACTAAAAAGAATAGTTAAAAGGTCGAAGAGAAATGTAAAATTTCTATGAGATATCAAAAATTATGTCATTTTAAATTATTGAACATATCTTTACTTAAAAACTAGAAAAAGTGTTTCGACATTGCATCACTATTTTGAATAACAGTAAAATAATTGTGTACTCCTATATTAATTGTTTCCTTTTTTACTCCGATAATATATAATTAGTAAGATGATCTTGTTTCTTTAAGTTAAATTCAATTTTCATCTCAACTCACATTCCAACTTAAACAAACTTCATCTAATGTCATTATTTAAATGATATTATTTAGTAGTTAAATTAATATCAATAATAAAGTTTAATATACCTCCTTCTCTTTCTCTACATATATATATATATATATATATATATATATATATATATATATATATATATATATATATATATATATATATATATATATATAATCCCACGGTACAATTTTAATAAAAGAACTGTATAAATTAAACTCCATTCTTCACGAGTTTTATTATAAATAAATAGGAGCCATTAAGGGGTTTCAGCCAAAAATTCGCTGTTGTACATTAAATAAACTGATGTTTGTTGTACTGAAAAAGGGATTATATTTTGTTTTGCATATAACTCGC